TGACAGAATTAACTAAAAGGGCAATTGTAGACCTCCACCAAGGCCTTTCCTATAAGTGATTCTGATTCATTCCAAAATGTAATGAGAAATTCCTTAGCCAATGCCATATCCTTCATCCAAATATATTGAAATCAGCCCATTGGTATTTTTCTGTAATCCTGCCAATAAACAGAAATACCGACCGACAAATAGAAAAAACTAAACGTAAACTAAACAATTATGAAGGATGTTAAATGTAAAAGAAAAGGTTAGATTTGATCATCTTTTAGGGATCTAAGGTGCAGTTGTTATCCTATATCAAATAGTCACTAACAAAACGCCTACTTTTAGGTCAGGTTTGTCTAATAAAAGGGAGGTTTTGAAAATGATGTTTTAAAAAAAAGCTTCAATGTGACTTCCTCTCGAAATTCCAGAGAATATCCGTTTAAAAAGAATTACTTTGCCCCAGTTTTGATCATTCTCTCTTCCTCCATCTTAGCTGGAGTAGTTTCCTGCAGGATAAAAATGTCCATGACATCTATACTTATGTAATATATACACCCTTGACTATGGCTGGATCATCACGTAGAACACATAAGCCTGACGCCTGCCTCCTCGTTCAATATTAAACAGTTCTTTTACGGCCTAGTTTGTCCATTCCCAGGGAATTGGGATCATATATCGTTGCAGGATGCCTGCTCGGTGCTTGTATACAGAGCGTAACACAGGGAACATCAGGGAAATATGTGTGGTTCTAAACACAGTGCTAATTGGACCACATCTAGACCATCTTTGCCCTGCAGTAACTCATTACTCAGCAATGTCCTGGCCCCGTTCCTCCACTGCATAAGACCCAAAGAAAAAAAAAGTAGCTGCATGACGTAAGTGTCAGTGGTTTATGGTTTTCTGAGCGCATATCTTTGCTTGTGGGTTCATGCATTCTTTATGTGTGTTTCTGGGGGGTTCAGATGTGCAATCTACCTCACCGGAATACCTAATATATCTCCCTCACCCTCCATCCAGACATCCAGGTTTCTGCGCAAAATGAAAACCTATTCTTGGCAGAGCTGTATGAAGGTAGATATGGTGCAAAATGCGAGAGCTTGTAAAACCTGATGTGAGCACTTGCAGAAAAGAAATCTGAGCTTGTGTGCATACATTTACACTTGTATAACATATCCACGTATCTGTGAACCAAATTTGAAGTCACAGAAGAAGAAAAAAAGTTTTGTCGCTTGTAGAAAAAAAATGAACTTAGTGATGAAATGTTCACTTGCAGAAAAATATATACTTTTTAAATATATTTACATTTACAATATATATTACAACTGCAACTTGGTTATTACAACCTCTCAAATCAGTCATTACAACTTCACGAATCTGCTCTGTGGCACTATAAATCGACGAATCTGCGGCCTTGACTTTTGCTACACTTCTTGCGATGAATGTGTCGCTAAAGTAATTTTCACCTGTAGATTCAAATTTGGTTCACAGATACGTGGATATTTTATACAAGTATAAATGTATGCACACAAGCTCAGATTTTTTTGGCTCAACATGAGGGCACATTTGAAGAATGCTCCCAGCATGCTTCACTGCACGTCCTAGTGCAGGGGTCTGGTAGGGGGTAATCACTTATGCCATCATCACAGTTGGATGGGATCTTCCAACCACACATCATCAATTACAATGAGCATTAGCATCACCTTCTCAAAGTGTGCTGTTTCTTTAATTCACTCCTTAATTAGTTGGGTTCCTGTATTTGATTTAGGATTAAAGGCTGCTCATTTCAAAATGACACACATTTTGCTTGTGCATGCTGGTGCATTTAAGGCTTACACACTTCAATTTAGTCTAATTTCTGTCAGTTACCAAAAGTGTGGCTCCACTGACAATTGATCAGTTTCCTGTACCACTGGATCCACGTAGGGCCTATTGCCCCGCATCTTGGAACAGACTTTGATGCCTACAATTGGTGGAAATTCCCAAGAATCAACATCTACACGGGTGTGTGATATCATCTAACATTCCACAACACCTGCTAAATGGTCCTTGGGGTAAGTTTAATCAACATTGTTTGATTTTCCTAAAGCCATGAAGATGTTTGGGTTAGTTGTTTAGTCTGAGAGTCAGTGAGAGTGCAACAGGGGACAGCAGGGAAGTGACCACACACACACACACTCTGACTTGCATGTTGTACTTGTTTGTGCACTGTAGTTGCGTATGTCTGCAACTGGAATAATCTTTCAATCAGTACGCTTGATCTGAAATCAGTTGTTAAAGGGTTGAGAACTCCGATGTCAATATAAAAACAGGATAGGGCAGAACATTTCTTATTCCGGGATTAAGAAAGTCTTATGATCTGTACTAAGTTTAACTGCCTGTCTGTCTTTTAATTGCTTGTCATTTAAAACAAATAAGCCATTTATTCTCGTAGTAACACTACAACACCTTTTGCTCCAAAATCCGAAACCTACAAAATAATCGAACCTTAATTGGATTAGATTCAACTTTATTGTCATTACTACAACAGAATGCAGTTTGCATCCAACCAGGGACTGCAGAGAGTAGATAAAGCGCATGAGGTTACAGTATATTTCATGTATTGATTCTTTAATTGAACTTAGTGGTCCAATTAAAAGCAGTCAAATCCAGAGGCAGCACTTGTTATACTTATGCTAAAAAACAGCTGCATGAAAACATTTCAATATCATCCAGTATGGAACAATATTATCAACTAATAAAGCTGTGTATTTCTTGCTCCCATCTGGGTGGAATGTCTGGATTCTCCAAATAAAAAGCTCTCTTTTTTAGTTAATAGTTGATGTTGCGATCAGTCTGCACCTGTGAGTGAGGCGGTAAATCATGTTGCTCTCAGGCTGCAAGCGTAGGAATTTACCAAACAAGGTGCTGCGGAGGGCTGACACCCCTCCGGCTGGAGAGCTACTGCTGGAGAGCTGCTGCTGGGAGCGCTCGCAGGCGTGCACGCTCACACAACCACGCTCACACTACCACGCTCACACTACCACGCTCACACAACCACGCTCACACTACCACGCTCACACTACCACGCTCACACAACCACGCTCACACTACCACGCTCACACAACCACGCATAAACCTGCAGCATCTCCCTGTCAAACAGAACCACGACCAGAGGGCTAACACATACTGTACGCCAAGCAGAAATAACTTAGTCATTGTCACTGTTATTGAGATTGAAAACAGCACAACAAGTCGACATCCCACCCTGCTTCACATGCGTCTATAATATTTAATTTCATATTTTCCAATGTTTTCAGACTGCATGACCCACTGAAAGCCTTGAAAAGCCAGTTTTCTTTCGTCTACTCTCTCTGCGGTGGTAAAGGTACACCAACAAATGTTTTAAACCTCAGCCCATCAGCATTTATGAGAGCAATCATCACCTTTAATGCATCCACTGAAGCCTCTGGGGAGACTGATGTTGGCAAGCCAAGATAAAAGACATAAAATGGAGGCAGATGCCCTGCGGCTTCTATTTCCTGCAGCCTTTTAAAGCTGTTAAAACAGATAATTGATGGGGAAGAACAGATTCTATTCTGTGATTGCGTTGACTCACTGAAGACTGAGCTGACTGAGCCAAGCTACTAATCAAACAGATGTGGTCATAATTTTAAAAAGCTGCATTGTCAATTATATTTTGTGGGGAAAATATGTTCACAGTGATTTTGGTTATTATGGATACAACACAAATGAGTGTCCAATTAAAGTCCAGGGAAGAGTTTCATGTAGGGTAAACACACTTGACTTACAGTATGCAGCTCACTGTGCGGCTGATACGTAACATACTAAACTTATTTACACGTGTTATTTAACAAATGTACTTATTTGAACCCAAACCATGATCTTTTACTGACATAACTAATCAGAATCAGAACACTTTTTATTATTTGTTCTCAGTTTTGTGATAGTTGCTCCTCTTTAGAATGAAATAAATAAAACTGTACTGTATTCTGGGAGAAAATACGGTTCCAATTTGAAACACAACGCAGTTTAGGTATGGGAAAATCATTTTTGAGAATGCAAGGTTGTTTGGAGTTTTGTGATTACTGCAGTAATACTAACTGTTTTAAGGATGCTGTACCTGAAGTCGAGGGACATTAGCACAAACAGTTAGAGCTGTCAGCAAAGAGTTAGCAGCAATAACAGAATCCAGGTTAAGTCAGTGGCATGTAATGTGTATGTCATATGGAGGCCCAACATGGGTATGTTTTTACACTTTGTCTGAATGTGTTCGTTTCAGGGATCAAAGAGCTCAGGTCCCTTTAACAACGTCCAGAGAGCTTAGCCCACTCGGCTGCACATCTTAAACAGATGCCTTCATGTAGAAAGCATCTAGTGTGAAAGCATCTGCAGAGGATAATCACATGTTCCTGCTTCATCACTGCAGCTTTTATGAAAGAAAAACAGGACATTTGGAGACATATTTTCTCTGTGAGCGCAGAGAAGTGCAGGGGATATTTGCTTTGGTTTGTCAGGCATCCAAAACCATTTAAACACACAACATATGAGAAAGAGAGTGAGCAAATAATCTGCAAGTCTCACACGGCTTCTAATGCCAGTACCAAATAAGGCAACAGAGCAAGCATGATTTTTTTATTGCCCTCGGAAAATCACTTTCATACTCAGACTCAGACTCAAGCAGTAAAAGACGTCATCATGATAAAGCAGATTCAAGGACATGAAGCTTTTTATCCAGATTTCTATGTTTTCATGCAACAGCAGCGAAAACCAACAACTGACAAACAATGGTTGAGTCTGGTTCATTTATATATCCCCAAACCCCATGTTTGTCTCAAGGGTCGTTCGGATAATGGTCCATTATGCTCAATGGTAACCTTGTTACTGTTGCTGATAGAGGCTGTTACTTTGCCACACTGTTTGTAATAATTCTGCAACAGGAAGGATCCAATCATGCCTGCAGAGCACGTACAGCATGGAAGCAATTACTAAGACAAAACGAAAAATGTGTTACTTACCAGCTCATAGTTTGTTGCTGGAACACAAGATGAAGACACCTAAAAACAGAAATAGAACTGGTCAGTCACACTGCTGCTTACGTGCAGTTATTTTTATTGCATGAACATTGTAAAACGCAATGGACTTTACACATTAATCCTGCATTCATTGCATTAAGGTTAGGCTTTATGGCTCTGTAACCTGAAAGTGTACCCAGTGCACTGAAAACAAATTAAAAGGTTTACTTTAATACATGTATTATTTAAAGGGGACCTATCATGCAAAATGCACTTTTGTACGTCTTTTATACATGAATATGTGTCCCCGGTGTTCCAGGGAACTCACCAAGTGTCAGAAAACACAACCCTCTCTATTTTCCTCCATACCCAAATCTCTAAAAAAAGGGGCTGCAACGGATCTGATAAAAACTGATCCAGATTTGAACACTGTCCTGACGTCAGGACGGTGGCGCTACGACTATTGGGCCAACTCCACCAATCAGGAGGAGACAGCCACGGCCATTGCCGTTCGAAAGCCCTGGAGACGCTGTAGTACATATGCCAGGCCTGTAGATGGTGCTGTTCTCACAGAATCAACCCTTGCAAAAACAGAGCTAAAAATGTCAAATTGAGCAAAATGAGGCATGGCTAAAATGCATGATCTGTTTGGTATTTTGAAAAAAAAAAAGTATAAATATGCCTTATATAGGTATGGTCCTACACTATATTATTCAAATATAGCATGATAGGTCCGCTTTAAACAAATTACACATAATTGCATTAGGTAAGTTGAAAGCAATAATATTACGTTTAAATAATAAATATTAGGTTCAACCTAATACTATTGCTTTCAACTAACCTTATATAATAATGTAGAAACTGTTGACCTAATACATTTAATTAAAATCAACGCTTAATTTTTTTAGTTTGTGATTTACATTCCGTCAATGTTACTGTATGCAGATGCAAATCAGAATGGAAGGACTTAAAGCGAAACTAGCATTTTTTTATTTGACCAAATTCATGCGAAATGGTACACTTGTAGTAGTGAACCTACGGAGCCCCTAAAGGGACATGGAAAAAAATAAATAAAGAGAGAGAGACAAAAAAAGAGTCGGGATAACGGCTTAAGAGACATAAAAAAAATACTTTATTTTATTTTTTACTTTGGAAATGACAGTGCATACATTATTTGAGATATATTTCAAACTCAGACTTAATTTGAAGGACATTTCGGCCAGAGGGGTGTGTTTAAAAACGTAGCAGCCTGCGGTCACTCCAGGAGGCGGCGGGACGTTTAACACCTGCGCGCAACAAGCTTTTACGCGCGCACACACACACACACACACACACACACACACACACACACACACACACACACACACACACACACACACACACACACACACACACACACACACACACACACACACACACACACACACACACACACACACACACACACACACACACCACACACACACCTCAACACCACCTCTACACACACACACCTCTACACACATCAAACTGCCTGATTACTCCCCCTTTTATTAGTTTTATGAAGGAGATGTCCGGTCACCAGGGTGCATGATTGAATCTGTTTGTGCTCTGCTCTGCTCAGCTCCGTGTGCATGTGTTCTGAGTGTTTGTTTCTTTAAAACAGCTGCGGGCAGTAGGTAGGCCTACTCTGAGAGTCACGGACATTAATTCATAGATCAAAGCAGACTGGTTTACAGACTCTCCTGTTTTGCCAATCCGGTGCTTAAACAAATAGCTCTACACCCCTGGCCGAAATGTCCATAAAATTAAGTCTGAGTTCGAAATATATCTCAGATAATGTATGCACTGTCATTTCCCCACGTAAACATAACAGTCTGCAACTAATGGTTGTCTCCTGTGTGCTCCACTTCCTCCTTGGCGCACCGGTAACTTTCTCAAAAAATAAAAATAAAGTCAGGAAAATGGGTTAGTTTCTCGTGCGCACGAGAAACTAACCCATTTTCCTGACTTCAAATGTATCGTTCTATAACAATATAACAATATATCTATAACAAATAACATCAGTCAATAATAACGAATAACATCAATAACAAATAACATCAGTTCAAAATAGAGAAAATCAATAACAAATCAATACATTCATACATTCAGGAAATACATTCAGCAATGCAAATGACCAATTGAGTGCATGAGTCTCATCACTGGATTATTAGTGACTGCAATGAGCCTGTTTTGCACTACACATCTTTTCAAAGCGCGGTTGCAGGCTTGATAATGCCACTCTCAATTCATGCTCAATGTTGAGCCTAGATCTGTATTTTGTTTTCAGTGTTGCAACAGCTGAAAATCCCATTTCACAGAGATAAGATGTGGCAAAGGGAAGAAGAATGTGCACAGCTCTCTGCCCAATGGTTTCAGTTGTGTGTGTGTGTGAGCAGGCTCGGATTGGCCATCAGGAGATTCGGGACTTTTCCCGGTGGGCCGCTGCAGTTGGTGGGCTGCTGCCTTCGGTGGGCCGCTGGCTCTGGCATAGGTGGGCCGTGGACTTTCACAGCGCCGGTACCGCATCCGCCACCGCATCCGCCACCGCATCCGCCACCGCAAACACCCGCCGTTGCGAGGCTCCGTTGCGAGGCTCCGTTGCGAGGCTCCGGCACAGCGGCGCTGTGAAAGTCCACCGCCGTTGCGAGTAAAAAATAAAATAATAATCTCCCGTTCATCGCGTTCATCGCGTCCATTCGCGACCCACCTATCACATCTCTGCGCCCCACCAGTGGGGCGGGCCCCACACTTTGAGAAACGCTGCTTTAGGGACTCCGTATGAACCCACATATCTGTGCCAGACTTTTTTTCTTCCTTGAACTTATTGTTTTGGTTTTACAGCCCAAAATTCTCACCCCGCCACACCTTACAGCAGGCATCCTCAAAGTCCGGACTCCGGTCCGGACCGAACCACAACTGTCTCTGGACTCTGAGCAAATTATACTTTTCATATGTCATATCTGTATTATCTGTGTTATCTGTGAGACATCGCCAACGCAACGAGTCAAAATTCTCCGCTATGTCCGCTGCATACAGCGCTCTGCATGTACGACTGTTCCACTGTCTGTGTGTGTCTGTCAACGCATTGGTCCAATCACATTCCGCATCCCGTCAGCGTTTTTTTCCCCCACCAACAGTCTGCGAATCAGAGGCACAGTAGGGCGGGTCTTCGCGGAATGCGGGTGGGAAAAATGCGTGTGTGTTTAAAAAAAAAAGTCAGAGCGAGGGTGTTTCTCAATCGCGAGTACGCTTGCTTGGTAGCACATGTCTGCCGAGCATCTTGCTTCAGAAGCGAGTCAAGAATACTTCCTGACATTTGGAAAACAAAGAGTGGAACAGGCTAGCAAGTGTGCAGGTGTGCGTCATATGATAGGCCCCGCCTTACATTTTCCGCCACAGATTTTGGAAATTGGTCCGTGCGCAAAGCATTGTGGGGATTTTAAGACCGCGGAGTCTACACATGTGCAGCCTCGATATTTCTCCAAACGGAGTACGCCGGGCTCGGTAGATTTCCAAGTATGCTGGAGATTGGAACAGTACTTCGGCGGCACTCGATGACGTAGTATGCTTGAAATAGTGGCTCTGAAGCAGCTTTACTCGCGATTGAGAAACACCGAGAGTTAACAGCTCATCTAGTTGCATCTGTACTGTAGCTCGTAGCCTAGTTTCACCCACCGGGGTGGCATGGGGTGGCAACTGCCACCCTAAAAATAGGCCTTGCCACCCCAGCTGCCACCCCAGCTGGCAGCTTTGTTTTGAAAGAAAAGTTGTGGCTCATCGGACATATGAGAGAGAAAGTCTCTAATGTCCGAGTGCAAGTGAATGCAGCACAAGACGCACGTCTTGTAACCCTTGTAACCCCTCCCCCGGCCCTGATTTCATTTGAACGGGAAGGCGCAAAACGAGAAGCATTCGGACCCAAGTACTGATTGAAGGAATGAGGTATTTGTGGTCTACAATGACAGAGAAGAGACTCTCAAGTTTGGCTGTACTCAGCATTGAATCAAAACGCACTAAAGCTTTGGATCTTACTAATTTTGTGAGGCGTTTTGCTGAACAAAATGGTAATCGCCGCATTCAGCTGTAATAGACATGTCAACTTGATGCTCTGCTCACGGATGAGCATACAAAACTGTTAAGATGATGACCTTACGTGTGTAAATATATATTTTTCTTTGTGGGGGTCTGCCCCCAAAAAACAGTTTTAAGTCCTGAGAAAGTCAAATAAGACGGTGTGTAAAACTACACTGCCCAGCCAAAAAAAAGTAACCACTTTGATTGAACTAGGCCAGTAGGTAAGGGCATTCCACTGGATAATAACTGAAGTATAAAAGAATGCATGACTGAAGTGATGGAGACCATGTTTGAAGGCAAACAAAAAGAGGAAATAACAGGTCAAATCAAGCAAATCCCCCTCTCAGATTCCACAGCAACCAGAAGAACATAAATACTGGCTGGTGATTTGATTAATCAGCTTTGTGATGGAATAAAAAATGCACAGTGCATTTCCTTAGCTGTGGATGAGTCCACTGACACCACTGACAATGCTCAGTTGCTGGTGTTTGTGAGTTTTTATGATGAGGCAAAGGGGGAGTTTGTTGAAGATGTGTTGGGCCTGACGAACCTCAGTGGACACACAAGGGGGCAAGACATTTATAAAGCAATAATGGGAATGCTGAATGAAAGAGGGTGCAGCTGCCTTTATTCATAACTGTGCAGCTTACACTGCGACTCTGAGGGATCAAGCACAGACACAATAACAATGAAAACTGCTGCATACAGATTATTTTTGTTTTTGCAACCTCGTGTTAAGAATCTTGTTGCAATTGTTTAAAAGTTTGAATGACCGGAATAAACGGACCTTTGTCTTATTGAAACATTTTTTTTTACCTTTAAGATTTGTATTTGAGTACCCCTGCCTTACAGTATATGTAGCAGCATGCAAATATTTTAGTGAGAAAACTCTGATAAACCTATTTGCACTACATCCCCAAATCTAAACGACAACAGATACATAA